GTCAATTGAATAGCATATATTATACTTAGAGTGATACTATATGAAAATAAACTCAATAATTGGCACGATTTTGTTCCCCCCCCCCCCCTATAAATACATCCACCTCTATATACCCTTGAATTCATCAAAGGTTCACAAACATTTTTTAGTAAAAAGATACTAAATATTTTAATTTTACAAAAAAAAACAAAAATGGAGACAAAAATGCTTAAGTTGGTCTTCTTCTCCTCGCTTCTGATCACTGCAACGCGTAAGTTCTTTTGTTTGGGTACAATTGCATGATACAATGTTATGTTTGTAAATTGTTTTTTAATGATCTAAATTAATCTTACTTCCTTCTAATCTAATGTTTCCTCTTGTTAGACATATAAAAATATAAATGGGCATAAAACACACACACGAATTATGATGGTTGCAGATTTTTACATGGTGGCTGAAGGAAGAATAGTGACCAGAACCAGAAGGTGCTTCACAGTGGACAACTGCGATTTATGGTGCGAAGGTTGCAGCAAATGTGAATGCCTTAAAACCATTTGCACTTGTACCGCCAAGCCTCCACCAGCCACCGTCTTTGTCACAGGAAACACCGCATCTCAGCCTTCGCCTCTAATTTTGATCTAGGATAGATTTCTAAAAGAAACTTCTATGTTTTCTTATTATATACTATAAACAAGGTTTTGAAATAGGTTTACATGATGTGATGATCCTTAGATTCAAATATTTACAAGTAATAAATCTACCTCCATACCGTTTCTATGAGATGAGTCTAGCTTTTCTAGTTTTTTTTTTTGTATCGGAGCGTATCTCCCGGATATATTTGTAGCCCGCTAAGCGCAGGCGATATAATGAAACCGTTTCCGTCAATGCGGTATGACGGATGGGCGAGGAGGACTGGTCGGTCGGGAATTGGAGGAACCTCGGAAAAGCACCATAAAAAATTATTGCATCAAAACGTTCTTATAAAAAAAACAGAGATGGAGAGATAAGAGATCTAACAATTAAGATAATAATAAAAATGTATGTGTATCTATTAGTAGTTGATTTATATGCACGAGACTTGAGTTGGATTTCTAAATCTCAAGGTAAAAGAATAGATTTTCGAGGGTGTAATTAACATATAAAAATAGTTTCAAATCCACTCAAACTCCATCAAGCTAAAATTATTGGTAAGAATCTATCAAACATGAATAACACACAAAATTTTAGCTAAGCCACGTGGAATCAAAAACGGATACGCGGAAGCGAAACGTTAGGAAACCCGGAAACGAGTTTAAAAAAAAAAAGATACGGAAACGTTTTGGAAAC